AGACCACCACAAAGATCTGATTTTCAAAAGCTTGGGTCTGCAGAACAATCTCTCAGCGCCACGCAGCGTCATAGACCGTGACACCGAGGCACTCAAATCTCTGTTTGATGAACACGGTTCGTTGCCAGGCAGCATTACATAAGAGCCCTCGCAGAGTTTATTATAATAATACATTACATTTATAAAGCGCTTTTCCTGGTGCTCAAAGCTCTTACAAGCAAGTAAAACAAAAATAACAACAAAAGTAGAAAGTGCTAAGCTAGGAGGAATAAGGGAAAGTGGTTAGTGGATAAGGAGTTGAAGGCAAGAGTGAAAAGGTGAGTTTTGAGGGGTTGTTTGAATGATGTGAGAGTGTTGGCGGATCTNTGTGTTTGTGTGTGTGTGTGTGTGTGTGTGTGTGTGTGTGTGTGTGTGTGTGTGTGTGTGTGTGTGTGTGTGTGTGTGTGTGTATGTGTGTGTGTTTGTTCCAGGTCAGCATGGCTTTATCTTCTCTGAAGTTTATTACTGGAGAAATACATGCTGCTGTACATAGCTGTTCATTTCAATATTGGTGGACAGATGGCTGCAGGCCACACACACACACACACACGCACGCACGCACGCACGCACGCACACACACACACACACACACACACACACACACACGTGCGTGCGTGTGTGTGTGTGTGTGTGGCCTGCAGCCATCTGTCCACCAATATNCGTAACTGGTGCCGCGCCCAAACCCGGAGGTCAATTTTTTCACTCGAGCGGGTCAAATTCACGTTTACGCTTTCTCGGCCGGAGCCAAGGATCACCGGTACGGAGATCTCAGCCTTGCCGTACCGTTCAACCAGAAAAACCAGCTGTTAGCAGTAGCACACAGGAGATCACAGCTCCTCTATTGTTCCCGAAACTGACAAAAGTTAATCAAGTACAAACCACAGACTGTCTGTGTCATGGCCGTAATCAAGACGCTGTTTGCGTTATTTATGTCTTGTAGGCCGTTCGTTATGAGTGTGGAATGAGATATACAACGTTGCTTAATCCTGGTCGACCCAATCTACCCATTCAGAAAACAAGCATTTGAAAAGGTTTTCCCCTGCCGTCTTGTCTGCAGACTTGTCAAGCATTAATTCATGTTTTTACTTAACCGTATTCAGTTATGTTGTTACTTCGGGCATCATTTACGAAACGTGTTATTACAATTTTAATCACGGTAAATACTGTTCTTTTGTTTAGTTGTAAGCCCCCGGCCAAGCGCGTCTTGTTTTGGAATGATGCAGTAAAACACAGCTGGCAGCCGCAGTGAAACTCGAGCGATTAGAGCGAAGCGAATATTCGCATCGCGTCCGGTGTGAACGCAGCATTAAAGCGAAGTGTATACTCGCATCGCATCCGGTGTGAACGCAGCATAAGGAGGGAACTCTGGGATTTTAACCTTTGCAGACCTTTTATATGCAAAGAAGCCTATAGCAAACTCAGGAAAGGTAAAACCCAAAAAAGCTCAATAGGGCCTCTTTAAATTAAAAGCAGCCAAAAGACATTACAGCTCACAGTATCTGGACTTTTCTAGCAGTCAGAAATGGAGCGACCTATAACTGAACACAGCCTTCAACGCACAGTAGTCTTAACTTGTCAAACCTGAGTCACTATGGAGGGCGTGCCATGGTCAAAAAAGGTTTAGGAACCTCTGGAATAACACAGTGGAGGTTTACATTATTTATCAGACCTTGGCTGTCTCCATTGAATTATTAGGAACCTACCAATGCCCACAGAGAGGAGTAGATATAATCTATGCTGGAGGCTGCTCCTGTCTTTTAATATGTCTGAGGGACTGCTGTATGGGAACTACAGGCACTGTGTGTTTGGGTATGTTCGGACATTATAACCCATTGGTGACCCTCCAAACCCTATGGCTGGTCATTTCCTCCACACTGGAAAAAATCTGTCAGCATTTTTTTTATGTGCCTGGGAAAATCTCTCCTAGGAAGTAGCCCTAAAGGTGATAAATAGATAAACATTGCATAAAAGATACATTTTCAATACGCAGGTTGGACATATTTTACCCCAATGGACTCAAAACAAAACAAGGAATGGAACACATATATATCTTTTTATATTTACAAGAACATTTATTGGTTACTAACAAATGAAGAAAGGCATGCTGTTGGTGTATTGAGGAATGGTGACACAGCAAAGCTCCCATTGACGAGTGTTCCAATACATTTATTTATTGTATGTAATAACCTTAAAGGAAAGTGCAACTCTGAGAAGCGCAGTCTTTTTGTTGCCCATGGCCATTTATGACTTCAAGACAGCTTTCTCTAGCTTGTAAATCAATCTCCATGAGCGGTCAAAACCGACATGATCATTTGATGCATTACTGTGAAATGCTCTAGTAATTATTCTCTCCTTTAACGAGGCAGGCAAGCAAAGCCAGGCTGCCCTCTTTCCCTCCCATGTCTTAGTCATTTATTCCTTCATTTTCCCTCAACTTAGGAACAATCTGAGTCGTACTGGAGCATGGAGATATGACCGGGGGAGTGGGCCTCTTAAGCTAATGGCTAATCAGTTTTCTAGCACACTTTGCTAAAACAGATTATTGTTTTAACATTCATACAGTCAGATAAGCTTGAAGCTTGCACAAATGTTATTCTGTGATTAGCTCTTCTTTATTTAAAATGTACACCCACATCTGTTTGCAGCAGAGAAAAATAAAAGTATAGCGTTATTGCTCCACTGGCAAAGTTGGGGGTTAAAAGGTTTGCTTAAAGGCACCCGATTGGTCGTTTTTGACGAAGGTCAGAGTGTGACTCACTTCCTACGCAAAGGTTTCTGCACCAGATGACCTCGAGGTTGCATTCCTGCTTTTACCTCGGTGGTAAATTGTGTTTCATGCTGCAGCTCTCCAGTCAGAGGTGTCAGAGATACACAGGGTGTAATTACAGGTCAAAACACAGGATTTACAGGAGACTGCTACGATGTGGTTTGATTACCAGATATCAGCAAGGTTTAATGTGAGCTAGATCAATAACTACTCCATATAATACCATGACATTTGGTATACAATGTTGTTCTTCTGAGGATGACATTTAAAAAGTTTGGTGATCCTTTCGCTTTTTCCACAATATAGAAATTAGCATTATCCAGTGTTGGAAAAAGTATTCAGATTTTTTACTAGGAAAAGTACTAATACCACACTGTAAAAATACAACATTTATATTTAAAGTAGTTCATAAAGAATGGTACTTAAGTAAAATTATTTAAGCACGATTAGGAAAATGTACAAATACTAATTGCAGAAAAAATATTCAAATGCAGCAAATCTTCACATTTAAGAAGCTGGAGCTGAGAAGTATTTTTATCACAAAAAAATGTAAAATATTTCTGTTAACGTATGGCTTTTAGTTACTTAGATATAATGTCGGATGGTTTAATCTATACCAAATAATCTTATTTTAAAAGTTTTTCAAAAGTATTATGTGTCAAAACCTGAATTAATAAAGTAACTAGTATATACATATGTGAAAAAAATATAGTGGAGTGAGAGGTACAAAACTAGAAGTATTATAAAATGAAAATATTCTGGTAAAGTATTCCAATTGTATACTTAAGTGCGGTTGTAAAGTTCTGGGTAAAAAGTACCGTGTTTGTTTCACCCATCCACCACCCCTGCCCTGAGCAAACTCTCTTTATAAACGTCCGTTGCTCAAAGCGTCTCGTACTGACAGGTTGGGTTTACAAGTCTGTTGCATCTTAAACAGAAGCCTTATGGTACGTCCACACGGCAGTGTCGCGTGCTTCAACGGAGACGCTTCCCATTCACTTTGAATGGGGTGAGGTCACGCTTTGCCAAACTGCATTGCGGTTCGGTCGCGTCGCTTTGCCTACGTTGCTTGCTTCGAATGTTGACAAAACTTCAACTTCTCAAGCGCCGACGGAATTGCCAGCCAATCAAATCATATGCCAATACAAGCACTAGCCAATCAAACCGTGTGCTTGTGTGTCCGGGGTGGGAGATTAATGTGATTGGTTGTTGGTCCACACCAGACACATCCACCGGCAAGCTTCAACACGATGCTGCCATGTGGACGTACCGTTACGGCCCGTCCACACACAGGCATGAAAAGAATCTTGAAAAATCTTGATGCTGGGCGTGTCTGAAGCTTGGCGATTTTTTGCGAGCAACGCGACCAACAACCAATCACATGAATCTCCCGCCCCCGACATACAAAGCAATAGCAATGTTAAAACGAAGTAAACTGGATATAAACTCCCCAAACAGGCGAAAACCTACCAGTTTCACCCACTGTCTCTGCCACCTCCCTCCATGCCTGGTTGCTCAGGTTTGTATCCCGGTAAATAGTTCTGGTCGTAAAGAACCGGGTGATTTGCTACCGTAATATCTCGTTTGGAATATGAGGAAATGAACTGCGGTCTGGCTCTCCCAGCTTGCACGCGGTTTGATTGGCTAGCGCTTGCACTGGCGGGATTTGCATAAANTCTTCTCTGAAGTTTATTACTGGAGAAATACATGCTGCTGTACATAGCTGTTCATTTCAATATTGGTGGACAGATGGCTGCAGGCCACACACACACACACACACGCACGCACGCACGCACGCACGCACGCACACACACACACACACACACACACACACACACACACACACACACACACACACACACACATGTACACCTGTGCACGCACGCACGCACACACACACACACACACACACACACACACACACACACACACACACACACACACACACACACACACACACACACACACAATAACATGTTGTTAATTTAGACTATATTATAAAGGACTGTGGTTCCAAATGTGGATACAGTTGAATCTTTCTGTCAACCAGACAAACCCTTCCAGGCTGAGCCTCCAGAGAGCCACAGCTGATCCGCTTCACTTCTGTCCATGCTTTCTGTAGCAGTGACTAAGTATCAATGATGGGACTGAGGCCAGCTGATCTTCATCATGTCTCTTCTGTGTTTCTCCACAGCGGAGGTTGAGCTCCCAGATGGCGGACTGCTCTCCGACTCTCTTTCCTTCCACCCCCTCCACCCCCTCCGCCTGCCCTCTCACCCGCTTGGCCTACCTCCCCACCCGTTGGACTCCAGTTTGGCCCCCGCCCTGCCCCCCGGCCTCCACGCCGACCACGACCTGCTGACCTGCGGCCAGTGCCAGGTGACCTTCCCCCTGGGGGACATCCTCCTCTTTATCGAGCACAAGAAGAAGCAATGCCAGACGCCGCTGCTACTCAACGGCTGCTACGAGAAGATGAGCGACCGGGGGGGCGGAGGGGGGAGTCCGTCTCTGCAGAGCCTCCATCAGCACGCCCAGCGGGGGGGGCTGAGGAAGGTGCTGCAGCCGGTGGAGGTTGGCATCCAGGTGACCCCAGAGGAGGAGGAGGTTGGAAGAGGCGAGAGGCGAGAGAGGACGCCCATCAAAGGAATTTTCCCCAAGCAGGAGCACACCCCCACAGGTAGGCACCCTTCAGAACAACCCCCCCCAAACCCCACCACACATATGACCTGTTTATGGCTTAATGTGTTACTACATATAAATGGCATTTGTAGCTTTTGTGGAGGCTTCCTGTCAGGACTTACTGTACCCCTTCCTCTCCAGCAAGACAGGCAGAGAGAGATGTTCATTTCATTTGAGGCAGGGGGCCCAACAGCCAGGGAGGTAGGTGGAGAGGGAGACAAACGCACATGACCCAGTCAAAAACCCTAAACCCCCTCAAGGACTTGGCTTGTCGGAAAACAAATAGTACAAACTCAGACGTTCATGGAAAGATCCAGCCTGAGCCATCTGCTTAGAGAGGTGAACAGCTCATTACAATTACAATAAGCAAGAGAGGGAAAAACAAGATGAGAAGAGGAGGAGGAAGAGGAGGAAGAAGAGGAGGAGGAAGAGGAGTAAGAAGAGGAGGGGGAAGAGGAGGAAGAAGAGGAGGAAGAAGAGGAGGAGGAAGACAGAGGAAGAGGGATTAAAAAGAGGCCAGTTCTCCCCCATTCAGAGACAGCTAAGCAGGGGGGGGGGTTATCTTTAAAAACCATTCAAGACCCTGAAAGAGAAGAGAAACAGAATACTCCGACTCCAGAGGTCAGAGGTGACATCATAATTATGTGACAACAAGATGTGACCTTCTCAGAGATGAGCGCACATTGAGCATCTTTCTACTTTGTGATGTGTTGCAGATTCAATTCAATAATGTTTCCAGTGTGTAAGTGGGACGGACTATTGGGAGATATGACAGAACAACTCTCAGTGGTTACAATGTATAATCAAATAATATATATATCAAATATATTGTGGCCAGTTCATCTGGTATCAAGCTATTAGGCTGAGCCCTCCAGGTTGGTCTGCCTTTACAAAGCACACTTTAGAACCAGCTTTTCATCAGGACTCAAATGCAACACATCAAGCTGCCTTTCACTCACCACTACATATCTGAGACGTCTTCAAAGATGATAAACCCGAACCCCATGAAATACTAGCATTTAAAGACACAAGTGGAGAGATAAGATACATTAAAGTAAAGCTTGAATAAAGAACAAAAGCTCCTGTGGAAAACACTGATACACATCAGAATGTTGGTATTGCAGTTCTATGGATCACACTTCGGTGCAGGCCTCTAGTTATGATGTTTCATCTGAAACCTTTGACCCAATGTGAACACGTGTTGTCTGCTAAATCAATGACGGATCATTCTCTTCTGCGACCATGGTATTTACACAGAGGATGTTATTGATAAGTAATTCATAATGTTGTGAATGCTGAAATTAGGCATAGAAGCAATAAATAAAGTAGTTCATTTCTATTTAACTTTCATTTAAAGAGGAACTGACACAACAATGAGGATATGCGGTAGATTATGCGATGTGCCTTGAGTAAATAATAATATCTTTGTGAATGAATAATAATAAATGAAAGTTTTTGAAAGTGTTAGCAGTGATGTCTAGGATATATGTTCAGGGTTCAGCCAGCACTGGTCCTTACTGGGGATTAAGCAACAACATAAAATCCTTCCTCCTCATCATTTACTCACCCGGGGAACTTGTACTTTACTGAAGTATTTCCATTTTGTGCTGCTTAAAACTTCTATTCCACAACATTTACGGATATTAGGTAGGCATTATTCATATTTATGTGCATACATTCGTTTTGTATGCAGGACTTGTACTTGTAACAGAGTATTTTTACACTGTAGTAATATTACTTGTACTTGTAACAGAGTATTTTTACACTGTAATATAATTCAGAATCAATAAGAATCAGAAATCCTTTAACAGGAACATTTACATTACGGCAGGAGTATAGTGCAGACAAAGTGAGGAGAATAGACTTACATATTACAATACAAAAAATGACTAAGTATTCACACGTTATTAATAATAAGAGATCACAATAAGTAACAAACTAAAACAAATAGCAGATAAGTACACCATGGTAAAAAGTAGCAGTATATTTGTTTTAAAAAAGTGAAACTTGCACTTGCATATATATTGCACAAAGTTGTATATTAACAGGCAGTGATATTGCACATCAGGGGTATTCCAGCCTATGTGTGGGGGTCTACCAGGGGCCGTGGTGGCTGTACAGCCTGACCTCTGCAGGAAGGAAGGACCTGATATGGTAGTACTTCTTCCAGCTGTGAGCAGCAGACAGATGTGTGGTCAGTGTAACAGTGGGACTGTCAGTCTGTGGCCGTGCTGTCACTTACTGTTTGCCCCTGAGCCCGGCAGCTTTACCTTTAATGCCCTCAGTACAGGGCGCATGTAGCCCTCTACTCGTGCCTGATGCACTCGAGCGTGTGCCCTAATTGATTGGCGCTCGTCGCGATATTAGGTCTGCATTATTCATATTTATGTGCCTAAGTCTATTTTCCCCCTGCGTTTAAATGCTTGCAATATATCTAGCTGTAGTCCTCCTGTGAAATCAACTCCACATGTGCAGCGACGGAAGGCCGGAAATTCTAATTACACAATATTTCTTCATAACAGAACCCGCAATAATTCTCACATTAAAAGCAAAAACATATTAGCGGCTCAATTGGACGTGCGCTGTGGCAACTGTAAACTATATTGCTGCAATAACATTTGATGTTTCCAAATTACACTCTGTATTTCACATGAAATAGGACTAACTAGCACCTTATAACGGGCGGGGGGTATTCATCGAGAACAGGCTCAGCCCTGCACAGTCAAGGGGGGAAATAACAGGTGCACTGTAGATATCGTAATTCAGACCTCGTTTTTTTTTCAAAATACTTTTACACCTTCATGTCTTTATAAAAGGGGTGAAATGGTGATGGGGGGGGGGGGCGGAGGAAGCAAGAGAGCATGTAGAGAGGGTGCTTACC